TAGAGAGCGAAGTAATTAGCGAGGAGGGGAGAGATAGAGAAGCGAAAAGAAAAAGCGAGGGAGGGGAGAGATAGAGAGAAAGAAAGCGACGGAGGGGAGAGATAGAGAGCGAAAGAAAGCACGAGGGGAAAGATAGAGAGGGCGAAGAGATAAGCGAGGGGGGAGAGATAGAGAGCGAAAGAAAGCGAGGAAGGGAGAGAGTGTGTGAGAAAGATAAGAAGGAGAAAAAAGAATGCGTACACGTTCTTTCTCGTGTATGGTTTGTCTTTATGGTGCGCCACTGTACTACACCATGAGCGTGATGCCTTGAATGCCTCCTTTGACTCCCGCGCATTGTGATTAACCGTCCTTTTCTAATTAATATACAGCCAGAAAAATTAGGAATTAACGTTTTTCCTCGAACATTGACCCCGCAACATTGAGTGTTTGCGATCACGGAGAGAGCAGCGTACATCTGTGTTGTTCTTTGATAAAATGATCTCAACCGAATTGTATTCCTGAGCATTTAATCATGTGGCGCGTATATGCAGAGATCTAGACAACTATTACAACAACATAACTACATTTCCCGAAGCGTAGTGGCTGCTAATGACTAAACCAATGCTACCTCTTCTATCCTCTTTTAATTTAGCGCGGCTAACAATAATTATATTACGCCCTTTATCAGTGCCACGCACGAATGCCGCTCAGAGAGCTAGGGCGGTAGAGAGAGAGAGAGAGAGAGAGAGAGAGAGCGAGAGCGAGAGCGAGAGCGAGAGACGGTTAGGTTGGAGCTTATTGCCATATTTTTTAAGGACGTTTGGTGATTCATTTGTCACTCGTTTATATAACCATGCCGTGTGAGGTTGGTTGTTCGTCGCAGACTATTTTCGGTGTTCTTGTAGAATGTTTGGTATGCTTAGTTATGTGCGCGTGTCCTGCAATGCCTCGCAGCGTGTGAGCATTTTTTTTGGTCGCAAATTTATTTCCCATATATTTCCCACTTGCTTCTCATCTGAAGGAATGCGATATTGCGAACTGCATAATTTATTTGTCAATATATTCTATTATATAGCATACACTCCACTTTCTCACTCACGTCTCTGCATTTCTAATATTTTACATTTCGTGAAAAGATTCTGGGAGAATGATTGATCAGACGTTATGTACAATAACGGAGTGTTTCTGTCTTGTGTATAGCTCCCCCCCGATACAGAACTGATGTAATACAGCTGATGTATCTCTAAGCTTCAATATACCTAACATCGAAGTCTGTTTGGAATTATGATAAATGTACTTTATGACACATCTATCTTGCGATTGATCTAGCTTACGGTAAATGTACGTCGTTGCTAATAGGCAATACAGCTATTATGTACGTTATGACTGAAATGTCGTTCGAATTATGATCGATGTACTTTACAACTGTTGTACCTCACAGCTAACGTACTGTTGTATGTGCAACTACTGCAGTATATAACTAATCCATCTCAGAGTGAAGTGTTTCCAAACATGTCGAACTCACAATTGAAATAAGTACTTGATCCATTTTCCTGTAGCGAGAGTGTTCGGCTGTAATTTGTTAGTCCTCGATATTAATGTTTATTCCCATATTCTGTAAGATCGAGTAATAAGCGATATTCGCTGAGAAAATTAAGCTTCACGTTTGATTGCATGTTTTGCATTACTTGCAATACTTCCACAAATACACCCACTATATAGTATTTTAATTATATTGGTATGAATTGATGAATTCTACTCAATCCCTCGTGCACGCGTATAGTGACAAGCCTGTCAATCATTGAATGGATTTCGATTATTAGTTAGGTTCAGCGAATAAACGTGCTGGGCATAAGAGGTCTCAGTCTACGGCGAAAAAAGCAGTTGCACACAATTTCTCTATAAACTCAGAAATAAACTCTGCTAGAATTGTACGTGAATGTCATCTGCGATCTGTTTATCGGTTAGAAATAATATTCAAATAATAGTGGAGTGTAGCATGAAGGACGTGCAAACTATATTGGCAGCGAATTCGTTATACGTATTTGTTGTTACATATTTGCACGCGAATCTCGCTCGTGAATTATTCGCAGCACGGAAACAATATTAGCAACAATCTTCTAATTAGAACTATGAGCCATGCGTTCTACTCGCTGCGCTGGGGACCTGTGATTTAATTCTGTCAGAGATGGATAGAGAAATATTGGGGACAGCGAGAGAGAGAGAGAGAGAGAGAGAGAGAGAGAGAGAGAGAGAGAGAGAGAGAGAGTAAGGAAGAGAAAAAAGATGCGTACACGTTTCTTTCTCGTGTATGGCTTTCTTTATTGGTGCGCACTGTACTACACCATGAGCGTGATCCTTGGAAATGCCTCCTTCGACTCCCGCGCATTGTGATTAACGTCTTTTCTAATTAATATACAGCCAGAAAAATAGGAAGTTAACGTTTTCCCCGAACATTGATCCTCTTAAGAGGTGTTTGCGATCACCAGCGTACAATCTGTGTTGTTCTTTGATGAAATGATCTCACCGAATTTGTAATCCTGAAATTTAATCATGTGCGCGTATATGCAAGATCTAGACAACCTATTACAAAAACATAACTACATTTCCCGAGTTAGTGGCTGCTAATACTAAACCAATGCTACCTCTTCTACCTCTTTTAATTTACCGCTAACATAATTATATACCCCGCTTTACAGTGCACGCACATGCCGCTCAAGAGAGTACGCGTGGCTGCACATATTCGTGCCACTGCGCTGACCGAATTGTTTATAACGGCAAAATATCTTCAATTTACGTATTAACAAATAGGCAGTGAGTGAATCTCGACAGGCGTAATTCGTTTTTCCAACGAAATGATTTCCGTGTTCATAAAGCCGGTCGTGGATCAATTGCTGATCGCCTGATGGAAGATGGCGGTGGTGGGCGGTGGTGATGGATGCATATGTGGTGTATGTAACATACATACATACAGTATGTTCACGAGAAAAGGCCGAACGAGATGGCGTTTGATATGACAGGGAGAGGAAATGGTTGTGGACGAAGAGGCGGGGGTTGGTGTGTTACAGGAAGTAAAAAAAGAGGATTCGTGATGGAGAGATGAAGCGAAGCATCGCAGGGGCGTCGCTGTCATGGGGGGAGGGGTAAGCCAAGGCAGGAGTGTTGGATTGAAGAGATAAAGGGGTGGGGAAGTGCTGGGGGCGTGCAGGGAAGGTGGTAAAGAACATTTGACAGAGAGAGATAGAGAGAGCGAGAGAGAGAGAGAGAGAGAGAGAGAGAGAGAGAGAGAGAGAGAGAGAGAGAG